TTTGTCGTTCTAGCATGGCACTTGTCACGAATCCCTTGCAAAAAACGGGACGAAGTGCACGCGCGCGTCGTCGCGCGCGCATGCCAAAATTCTTCAAAAACCTTCGGTGCTGGCGGCGGCAACATATCAACTGAGTCATTGGAGGCTGTCGCCGCAGACCGTTTGACCTTCGCTCTCATGGCCCTGGCTGTGATCGTTGCATCGGCAACCCACTCGCCCAGGCAGCGGCAGCGCGGCATGAGCCCAGCCACGCCGTTGTAGCGCAGGTTCTGCTGCCGCAGCAGCTGTGCCCCCATGCCGCGCTGCACCATGTACTACACGGCGTCGTCGCCGAACGACGCCATCCTATAAACATGCCTTTTTCCCTACCTAGGCTCTGCCTAGAGGGTTCTTACTCGCTGGGCTCAAAGGGGCCGGGCAGTGTTCCTCGCCCCGGGCGGTTCCCCCAGTATCCGCCCCGCGGTTCCCCCAGTTGCGCCCCCTGGGTTCACCCAGCTTGGCTTAGCTAAACTTAGCTTAGCTTATCTCATCTTCGCTTAGCTTAGCTTTGCCTAGCCTGGCCTAGCTTAGCTTAGCTTGTCTCATCTTAGCTTAGCTTAGCTCAGCTCAGCTTTGCCTAGCCTAGCCTCGCTTAGCTTAGCTTGTCTCATCTTAGCTTAGCTTAGCTTAGCTTAGCTCAGCTCAGCTGTGCCTTGCCTTGCCTAGCCTAGCCTAGCTTAGCATATACCATCTTAGCTTAGCTTAGCTTAGCTTAGCTTGGCTTAGCTTAGCCTAGCCTAGTTTCGCTTAGTTTATCTTAGCGTAGCTTAGTTTACCTTAGCTTAGCGCAGCGCAGCATAGCGCAGCGCATCATTAGCACAGCATAGCATAGCATTGCATAGCCAAGCATAGCATAGCATAGCATAGCATAGCTCAGCATAACATATATTAGCTTTAGTTTAGCTTTAGCTTAGCTTTAGCTTGGATTTAGCTTAGCTTTAGCGTAGCATTAGCTTAGCTTTAGCTTAGCTTTAGGTTAGCTTTAGCTTAGCTTTAGCTTAGCTTTAGCTTAGTTTTAGCTTAGCTTTAGCTTAGTCTTAGCTTCACTTTAGCTTAGCTTTACTGTTACTACTAATGCTGCGTTCCCAGGGGCTCCAACTCCTAGGTAGGGTCGCACTGGGGTAATTGTTACGCAGCCGGGCAGTGGCGGGTGCGAGGCAGGAGTGGAGGCGGGAAGGAAGACAAGGAAGAACCCCTGGGAAAGAAGAATAGCAGGAAGAAGACGGTAGGAGGACGAGGAGGTGAGGAGGAGGAGGAGGAGGAGGATGAGGAGAAGGAGGAGTAGGAGGGGGAGGAGGCGGAACAGGAGGAGGAGGAGGAGGAAGTTGCGGGGAGGAGGAGGAGGAGGCGGAGGAGGAGGCGGAGGAGGGAGGAGGAGGAGGAGGAAAAGGGGCAAAGCCGCCGTCCTGGCGGTGCGGCGGCGCTGCGCCGCTGCAGCGGGGGAGGCCTCCCCCCCCCGTTGCCGTCGCTTTACTCTGTCCTACCCTTTCCAGCACCTCTTCTGCCTTCTCCCCCTCCTCCCCCTCCTCCTCCTCCTCCTCCTCCTCCTCCTCCTCCTCCTCCTCTTCCTCACCCTTCTCCTCCTCCGATTTTTCGTGCTCCAATTCCATCCACCTGCGCCTCCGACCCCTCCTCATCCACGCGTTCCTCCTCCCCATCCTCTTGCTCGTTCGCCTCGTCCTCGCCCTCCTCCTCCTTTTCCTCCTCGTCCTCCTCCTCCACCTCCTCCTCTTACTCCTCCTCCTCCCCCTCCTCCTCTTCCTGCTGACTCCTCCGCCTCCTCCGACTCCTCATAATGCCTCATAATCATCATCACCATCATCATTAGCATCATCAGCAGCATCATCACCTTAATCATCAGCATTATCAGCATCAGCATCAGCATCATCATCATCATCATCATCATCATCATCATCATCATCATCATCATCATCATCATCATCATCATCATCACCAGCATCATCACCATCACCATCACCATCACCATCAACATCACCATCCGCATCATCGTCATCAATCTCATCACAATATCCATCATCATCAGCATCAGCATCAGCATCAGCATCAGCATCAGCATCAGCATCATCATCATCGTCATCATCATCATCCTCATCATCATCATCATCATTATCATCATGATTAACATCATCATAAAACCATCAGCAGCATCACCATCATCCTCATCACCCTCATCACCATCATCACCATCACTACCATCATCAGTATCATCATCAGCCTCACTATTACCGTCGTCCTCATCCTGATCACCATCCTCAGTTTCATCATCACCATCGTCAATACCACCCTCATCAGCGCAACCTTCATCATCACCACCATCATCATCCCCCGCCCCCCCCCCCGCCGCCTGGCGGCCACGGGGCGCGCGGGCCCGCGGGCCCGCTGGCGCGGCCGCGCCGCGGACCGGCGCGGCTTGGGCCGCGGCAGGCCGGGCGCGGCGGCGGGGTAAGAGGTGGGAGCAGGATGTCAGAGAGGCAGCGGAGAGGGGGAAAGCGAGAAGGGGAAACGAGCGGGGGGGGGGGGCAGGAGCGGGGGCCGAGCTCCGAGGGCCACGAGCAGCGCCACGAGGACCACCAGGTGAGCTGCCGGAGCCGCCTGCTGAGCTACGAGTCTGCGAGGGCCACGAGCAGAGCCTCGAGAGCCACCGGCAGAGCCACGAGGTCCGTCTGCAAAGCTTCGAGGGCCACAACCTGAGCCTCGAGGGCAATAAGCGGAGCTACTACAGCCACCAGCAGAGCTACCAAGGCCACCAGCGGACCTTCGAGGACCACCAGCTGCGCTAGGAGGACCACAGGCACAGCTACGAGAGCCACCAGCAGAGCCACGAGGATCGGGTCGGGCGAAAGGGGGGGATAGCAAAGGGGGGTTTGAGAATCAGCTCACGTAGCTGATTTTCCCGGCGCCTCCCGGCGCCGGAGGCGGCCATGTATCGAGGAATGGGCCCCTCGGTGAAGCCGAAACCAGCCGCATGCAGCAAATTTCGTAACCCCACCTTTCCCAATCCCCCCCCTTCGCCCGGCCCGAGAGGACCGCAAGCCGAGCCACGAGGGCTGCAAGCGGAGCCACGAAGGCCACAAGCAGTGCTACGAGGAGCACCAGCGGAACCACGAGGGCCACCAACGGCGGATTGCAAAAAAAACGAAGGATTGCAAAAAAAAACCCTTCGTTTTTTTTGCAATCCTTCGGTTTCTTTGCAATCCTTCGAAGCAGAGCCAGGAGGACCACCGGCCGAGCTGGCTACGGGAGGCACCAGCTGTGCTACGAGGGAAACGAGGAGAGCTACCTAGAGCCACCGGCAGAGCCGCGAGGGCCGCCGGCGGATACCTTCTAGGACCACAGGCTGAGCTGCAGTCGGGGCCCTGAAGAAGGAACCCTTTTGGTTGGGGAGGGGCTCCGCGTTCCTTCAGTGTCTCAAGGCTCGAACCCGCTAAGGAAGCGAGGGTACAGGCAGTGTTACCCAAAGTGCTGCCCGAGCTAACGAAAAACCATTGCTGCGCGTGAGTGTTGCTACATTCCCGTTCCCAGTCGGGGCCCTGAAGAAGGAACCCTTTTGGTTGGGGAGGGGCTCCGCGTTCCTTCAGTGTCTCACAGCTTGCCTCAGGTTTTCCGCTGGTTTTCGACAGGATGTCGAACTTGAACTGATGGGGAAGAGGGGCCTCGTCCCTTATTTAGGGTTCTTTAGGTCAATGCCCCGACTGTACTACACTGTAGTAGCTCAGCTTGTGGCTGTAGTAACTACAGCCACCAGAAGAGCCACCAGGGCCCCCCAGCGGACCTCAGAGGACCACCAGCTGAGCCACGAGGACCACGGGCAGAGCTACAGGAGCCACCAGAAGGCCCACGAGAATCGCGAGCTGAGCCACGAGGACCACAGGCACAGCTGCGAGAGCCGCCAGGAAGAACTCCAAGGCCCACCCGCTGAGCCACGAGAGCCTCGGGCTGGCTGATGGAGCCGGGTGGCCCTCCCTCCGCCTCCTCCTCCTCCTTCCCACTCCTCCTCCTTCCCACTCCTCCTCCTTCCCACTCCTCCTCCTCCTCCTCCTCCTCCTCCTCCTCCTCCTCCTCCTCCTCCTCCTCCTCCTCCCCGGCGTAAAGGGCGCGCCTCGGCCCCGACCGCCCGTGGCACGCGCGGCGCGGGCATGCGCGGGCGGAGGCGCCCGGGGACGGCCGATGCCGCTCCGAGAGAGAGCGCCGACATCAGAAGAGACACTGGCGGCCCTGGAGGATCGTTTGCAGCACACGACTCCCCTGGAGGAGGAGGAGGAGGAGGAGGAGGAGGAGGAGGAGGAGGAGGAGGAGGAGGAGGAGGAGGAGGAGGAGGGAGGAGGGAGGAGGACGAGGAGGAGGAGGAGGAGGAGGAGGAGGAGGAGGAGGAGGAGGAGGAGTCATCTGCTTCCCTCCGTCAGGAGACCCACAGGGGAGTCGCCGCAGGAGATCAGCAGAGAGAAACACTGCACGACGACTTCCTCCATTCGGGGGGGGATTGGTGCGGCCCTGGCGCCACGTCTCACACGGTGGCGCGCCAATCATCCCCAACGCCAGCTTAGTCCATAACATGTCGAGGAACTTTTTGAACTGTGAAGTCACCGGCGCCAAGATTCCTCCTCCTCCTCCTCCTCCTCCTCCTCCTCCTCCTCCTCCTCCTCCTCCTCCCCCTCCCACTGCAAGTGTGGAGACCAGAGGGCACGACCATCTGACGTGAAGCCGGTGTTCCAAGAACCAAGAAGTCCGCCATCGCTGAAACGGGTCCTGGCGGGAACAGGCTCTGGACCCCGACCTTCCCCGCGGGATCAGCCAGCTCCTCGCCCTGCGTCGTTTTCGCCGCCACTCCGGCGAAGGCCGCACGGCGGCGCGCCGCGCCGCGCGCGCGCCGCGCGCCGCGCCGCCGTGCGGCCGAGGGCTGCGCCGCGCCGGCCGGGCCGCCCCGCTTCAGCGCGGCGGCGCGGCGTGCCCCCCTCCAGGCTCCGCCGCCTGCACGGGCTGCGCCGGCGCGGGCGCGGGCGCGCCGTCGCCGTCCCAGGGCGCGGCGCTGGGCGCGGGGGAGATGAGGGCGGCGAGCCGCCGCGAGCAGCGCCAGGCGAGGAAGATCGCCCCGTAGCCTCGAGGGGGAAGGGGAGCCAGCGGCCGTCCTCGCGCTCGTGCGCCCCCGAGATCTGGGCGCTGCAATCGTTTCACGCCGTGCACCTGCGCCCAAGCTCGGGCCCCAGGGCCAGCACGGATCGATCGCAGCGTCAGATCTCGAAGGAGGCTCTCGCCGACCACAGAGGTCCGCGCGGACCTGCAGCTGCTTGCGCACGTTCTGCCATCGTCTTCGGGCCCTCTGTGCCAGGATGCGCCAGGATACTGGCTGGGGGCCCATCTTGGGCTCATAAATCGTGGGGGGCCATCTTGGGCTCAGAATCTTGGGATCCTGGCCACGTGCGAACCCAAGATGGGCCATCTTGGGCCCATCTTGGGTTCGCACGTGGCCTCCTCTGCACGACGTGGGCCCCCAAAGGTCCGGACCCTTCCCTGGGGCTGGCTCTTCGTCCCGCCCTGCTCCTGGACGGCCGCAGGCCCGGGGAGGAGGGCCCCCAGAGAGTCTGCAGGCAGCCAAAGGCCTTGCTTGCAGCGTGGTGAGATGCTCCCGACGCGGGGGGGGGTCTGGGGTTGGCGCCCACCCGTGGCCAGGGATCACCAGGTACAGGAGCACCAGCAGGAAGGGCCAAACCTGGGGAAGCCGCACGGTGCCCGCACCGCTGCTCCGCGGACCTCTCCTGGGCTGCGCCCCGCCCAGGGTCTCGGGGCGAATCCAGCGGTGGCGGCGAGCGCCTCCCAGGAGGCCGAAGAAGGCGGCACGAGGGAAGGGCAGCGGTATGGACACTAAAACGACGCGAAGATTGGAACAAAATCGGATCGGGATAACTCGAAATCTCTGAGAATCGGCGGGCTTGGAGGATGTATTGGGCGCCGCGGCCGCTCCAGAGCGTTCCGGAACGCTCTGAGAGCGCTCCGGAACGCTCTGGAGCGACTTATCCCGATCCTGGCCCTGTTTTAGGACACCTCCTCCGATCACCCGCGAGGCGCCCTGGGAGGACGGGGCCCCGCCAGGCCCGGGCCCCTGCGGGCCCTGGCCGAGCAGGCGGCGCAGCGCCTCGGCGCGCGCCTCCGTGCACAGCAGCAGCGCCTCCGCGCCTGGCACGGCACGCCGCAGCGCCTCGGCAGAGGCCACACCCTCGCGGAGGAGGAGGAGGAGGAGGAGGAGGAGGAGGAGGAGGAGGAGGAGGAGGAGGAGGAGGAGCGGCAAGCTGAGACGAAGCCAAGACGAGGATGACGTCGGGTGATGCCACATCGAGACATCTCTGAGGCCCGGCGGCTCTGGAGGATGTCTCGGGCGCCGCGGCCTTCTGAGAGCGTCCAAGACGGCTCTGAGAGCGTCCCGGAACGCTCCGGAACGGATTTGTCCTCGTCCTGGCCAAGCCCGAGCTTCACACCCTCGCGGCAGAAGAAGCCCCGAACGGCACGGAAACGCCGCAACACTTGGCACGGTGCTGTGCTCTGCGTGCGGGGGACCACACGGGAAGCCTTGCGGGAGACATGCGGGGACCATGCACCGTCTGGGAGACCACGCCCCACCGATTTCGGATCTGGCAGACCATCACTCGCCTCTTCAGAAGCAGAAGATACAAATCCTTGCAGACAAGGTGCTTAGCCCTAGGGGAAAAGCTTGCGAAAAAACAAACACTTTCGGAGGTCCGATGTTTCTCGGATCGGTGCTGGGACCCCTCCCCGGTGCGTGGAGCGCGCCAGGGACGGCGCCGGAGACGCCGAGGGGGCCCCGCGCCGATCCGGGAGATCCGCGCGGAGCTCCGAGCGTGATCCCGTTTGTGCCGCTTTGTCCTCTGCGGTCCTCCGCGGCCATGTGCCGTTCGCGCTCGCCGCACAGGATCTCGCGAACGGCGGGGCACCGCTCGGCCAGCGCCGCGCCGTGCTGCCGCCTCAGCTCCTCCGCCTCCGGGCTGGGGGTGGCGTGCGCCACCAAGGACGCGGCCGCGTACCTCGTCAGGGCGAGCAGTTCCCGCGGGCGGAACGCCAGTCTGCGCGCGACGCGGTTCTGGGTCTCCTGTGCGAGGTGAATGTAAAGATATTCGTTCTACTTGTGAAATTACCAAGAACAGCCTGGCATGTTACCCTCCCCCCCCTGGGACCCCACGTATACGCCTTCGGCCCCCAAGAGAGCTCAACAATGCCCTGAGATGGCCCCAGAAAGCCCAAAAAGGGCGCCACGAAGCCTACATCGGGCCCCCAAGACTGCCGAAACCGCTTCCGAGACGGCCGTTAAAAGGCCCGCGAAGGCCCCAAGACGGCCCGAGAGCGCTCCGAGAGGGCCCAACATGGCCTCGAGACGGCCCAGGAGGCCCCCACGAGGACATTCACGAGGGCCAGAGGACACAAAAAGCAAAGATGTTCCTCAGGTGTTTGAAGGAGTTTGTGTTTCCTGCCTTCTCTGGCCACGAACGGCCCAAGGCGGATCTGCCAGATTCCGAAATCGTCCCAAAGCGGCCCAAGAGATTCCCAAGAAGGCTTCAACGCGGCCGTCCGAAAAAGGCCCCATCAAGACCCCCAATCAAGCCTAGAAGTGCCAAACTCATCATCATCATCATCATCATCATCATCATCATCATCATCATCATCATCATCATCATCATCATCATCATCCGCATCAGCATCAGCATCATCATCATCAGCAGCATCATCAGCATCATCATCAGCATCATCAGCATCAGCATCATCATCAGCATCAGCATCATCAGCATCATCAGCATCGTCATCGTCATCGTCATCGTCGTCATCATCATCATCAGCATCATCATCATCATTATCCGATGGTTTCGGCATCATCACCTCTCGGGCCACTCGACATGCCACGACGGTCTATGAGGCCCCCCCTCACCCCAGGCACGGCCAAAGCTCACCCAAAGACGGCCCACGAGGCCCCCAAGAGATCCCAAAGCAAGCCAAAAAAGGTTCCAAGGTCACTCTCCACAGCGCTCTCTCGGACGTCCGACTCTCCACAATCCACTTCTCGTCCTCCTCCTCCTCCTCCGTTTCCTCCCTCTCTGCCCCTCCCGTTCCCTCCTCCTCCTCCTCCTATGTCTTCGCCTCATCCTCGTTTTCCTCCACCGATTCTGGGATACAGCAACTGTTGCTCAGCTCCTTAAGCTCCCCTCTCTTCCTCCACCATCTCCTTCTCCTCCTCGTCTTCCTCCTCGTCTCCCTCCTCCTCCTCCTCCTCCTCGTCCTCCTCCTCGTCCTCCTCCTCCTCCCTTGCCGCTCTCTCTGCCCCTCCCGCCGTACCGAAGAAACACGACGTTGGGTGTCGAATGTTCCTGCTCCATCCAGCTCGCTGCGCCTGCTTGCCTTCAACATAACTACATCCAATTGCCTGCGGCAAGTCCCGCCGCCCTTCCAGCCCAACATTCTCTGCGGCGGTTGTGCGAGGAATCACGGGATGCCGTCACGTATGTCACCCCGGGCTGTCCCCCTTGGGAGCCCTTTGGGGTGCCGTGGCTGCGTCTTGGGGGCGCCTCGGGTTTCTTTGGGGCTCTCTGGTCCACCTAGAAGGCTCTATGGATCGTCTTGGGGCCCTCTGGGGAACGTTGAGGGCAGTCTGCGACTCTCCCTAAACAAATTGGGGTCTTCTTGGACCCCTCTTCGGCAGTCTTGGTTCCCTCTTGGGCCGATGGCCGTCTTGGTGCTGTAACGCGGGGCGCGCACCCACGCGCACATACACGCGCACGCACAGACACAAGCGCCCGCCAGCCCTTGCAGAAACCAGTTCCTGATACGTCGCGGCGCGCGCAATGTACCAGCCACGCCGCCTTGGTTCGTACTGCTAGAGCAGCACGTCAGGGGCGACATCACCATGCTTACCACAACGTCGACACACACACACACACACACATCGCAGGTGCAAGGGCCAATATCAGACGGCGAAGCGCAGCGAGCCTTAACGTTTTGTGTGTATGTCTGTATATATGTATGTATGCATGCATGTATGTATGTGTATTTTTTATACAAACATACAAACACCAAAAGCCTGTGTACATACACACACATGTATATCTTTACATATATATATACATCTATAAATATATACATATATATATATATATGCGAGCCACACGCGCGCTTCGATCGCTAGAGTTCTAGCAAGCTCTGGTTGGTTGTAGTAAAGTTGAAAGCGCGGTATCAGAGGTCATATTTTGTCGCACAGGTCGTGCCTTTGCAGAGAGGAGGGGGTTCAGCGCCGCTGAACCGAACAAAACTTCAGTGCAAGCCCATTCTTCTGCGACCCTTCCCCTTTAAACCTTGCGCCCTGAGCTGCCGCGCCGAACTGCCTGGCTCAAACGGTACAACTCTCAGAAACAAAACAGTCGAATAGGCCCTGCTAGGCTAAGTACTCGACGACCCGCGGGGCAAACGGACCCGCGGACCCACCCAAAAGGAGAAAAAACGCACGCATTTTGCCGGCGACAGCGACGGCAGCGCGCGCCGCCCTTGGCAACCGGGAGCGTGGGCCCCATGGCTCCGCGCCCCGGCCGGCAGCGGGAACGCCTGCCCCCCCCCACCCGAGAAAACAAATTCTGGCGAAGGGCCCAAGCATGTGCAGTTGTGAGTAACGCGTTGCGGGTGCTGCTTTCGGTGGAGCTCTCTATGGGGCCACGAAGCGCGCAAGGGACGTGCCCTAATGGGTGGTGGCTGACGCACGCGGGCGGTGCCACTGGGGCCGTCGGTGAAGCTCCTAATGGGGCCACGAAGCGCTGTACTTGGTGGTGAGGGGCACGCATGCGGGCGGTGCCACTGGGGCCGTCGGTGGAGCTCCCAATGGACCCACGAAACGCTGTACTGGGGGGGGGGTCGCATGCGGACGGGCCGTTGGAGCTACCTACGGGGTCACGAAACGCTGTGCCAAGTGGGGGGGACGCATGCGTGCGGTGCCACTGGGGGTTTCGGTGGAGCTCCCCATGAGGAGAAGTGGTGTGCTGGGTGGTGGACGACGCATGCGAGCGGTGCCACTAGGGCCTTTCGGTGGAGCTCCCTACGCGGCCACGAAACCGCTTTACTGGGTGGTGGCCGACGCACGCGGGCGGTCCCACTGGGACCATCGATGGAGTTCCTATGGGGCCACGAAACGCTGTACGGGGTGGTGGCTGACGCACGCGTGCAGTTCCATTGGGACTTGCGGTGGAGCTCCCGCGAAACGCTGTATTGGGCGGTGGCTGACGCAGGCGGGCGGTGCCACTGGGGCCGTCGGTGGAGCTCCCGGTGGGGCCACGAAGCGCTGCACTGGGTGGTGGCTGGCGCATCCGGGCGGTGCCACTGGGCCCGGCGTTGGAGCTGCCCACTTAGCGCTGGTTCAGCCGAGTGCGCTTCCAGTGCGATTCGTCAGTGCGCGGAGTGAAAAGAGGTTCGAGGTTTACTTCCCCTCCCCTCCCCTCCCCCGGGGGGTGTTTTTTCCTGTACCGTTTTTTGGCTTGCTTCGTTTTTCCTGCTTCGCCGTTGTTGGGCGCTTCGTTCTTCTACTTTGCAACCGCGGAGCGCTGCCTCCCAACCGTGCTGCGCTGTTTCCCGCGTCCGCCGCTGCACGGATGCTACCTCAAATTGGTTGCTGATTGCTGCTGCGTGGGCGTGCCGGCCGGGGGGGTTTTGCCCGGGGCCTCTCTTTGCACAAGGGGGTCGAGAGAGACACGATAGTCTGCGCCGCATTCTTCTGTCAAGTGTTCATGAAGACCTGCTTGTTTCGCGTTTTTGGTGACATTTTCGCCAAGCGTGAAAACCGCCACACGCCTGCAAGATACGCTGACTGCTTCTCCGTCGTCGTCGTCGTCGTCGTCGTCGTCGTCGTCGTCATTTTGAGCTGTCAAAGCGCTGTCTTTGACATCGCGAGCGAACCTCCGCGCCCTTCTGGTGCCCCATGGAATGATTTCGGCCCCCCCCTGGGACCATCTTGGGCTTAAGCTGAGCCTCTTTTGGGCTACTTCTTTTCGGGCCCCCCTTGGGATCGCCCCGAGCCTCGGATGAGCCCTTCTTGAACGCGTTCCCCGAGCTCCTGGCGACGACGGAGCTCACGATGTCAAAACTTCGGTTTTGACAACGTTAGCACCCGCGCTCCTGAGGTTATCTTGGGGCCCTGAAAACGAGGAAGAGGAGGAAGAGGAGGAGGAGGAGGAGGAAGGGGAGAAGGAGAAGGAGGAGGATGAGGAGGAGGAGAAAAAGGAGGAGGAGGAGGAGGAGGAGGAGGAGGAGGAGGAAGAGGAGGAGGAGAGAAGAGAATGACGCCGGCCGATGGCGGTAAGCTTTGTCCCCGCCCCGGATGCCAGGAGGTTCCCGGAAGCCTCCGGTGGCTTCCGGAAGCCTCCAGAGGACAGAAAACAGCCGAAAACTATAGAAAACTCCCGAAAGGCTCAAAAGCTCAAAGTCCTGTCAGGATGGCCCGCGAGGGGCAGGACTCTGTGCGAAACTGCGTGAAACCCTCAGAGGTCGAAGTGCGCCTTCGCTGCCCAGCTGACAAATTCAAGTGTCAAGCTTTGCCAGGTCTCCTCGTTGCCGGCGAGAGACTGCCACTCCTCCAGCCCACGTTCTCTGTAAAAGCGCCGGATGGACTCCTCGAAACGCATCCACCTGCGAGCGGCTGGGCGCTTCGGGCGCAGCGAATCCCACTCGTTCGCAACCACCTGCCAAGGAGAATTCCTCCACGTCGTCACCTTGCACAACCACCCCGCGGCACTCGTCCGCGTCACCCGCCCTGCCCAGTTCAATTTTCTTCGAAAATGCTCGGGCCCCCGCTCCTTGAGCCCAACAGAGTTTGCAAAATGCCGTGCTTTATGCGTGGCTCTCTCGACCCAGTCCAACCAAAGCTCTGCCCCGGCACGCCCGCGCCCTGCAATTCGTCACAGCATGAGATTCTGAGCCACCATCAGCTTTCTCAGCTCCTCTGCCAGGGGCGCCCATGACTCACGTGCCCACAATGAACATTCTGACGCAGTAGAATTGAATAAACAGAGCCTTTTCTTGAGCGAATACTTCGTGTTCAACGACAACCGTTGCAGAGCCCAGAAC